TGAGGTCCAGCCCCGCTCAGACTGGGTGCATGATGTGTTTCTTTTAATTTGTCTTGTGTTTTTTGCTTTTAATCTTTTCCTCCGGAATTGGGCGGCCTATAAATTTAAGAAATAGAAATAGAAATAGAATAGAAGGAAAAAAGGAACAGAGAGACAAAAGAAAGGAGTGAGTGTGTGTGTGTGAGAGAGAGAGAGAGAGAGAGAGAGAGAGCACATGGCCGGCAAGCCACTCCCACCAGGTCACATGGCCGGCAAGCCACTCCCACAAAGGAGGCCACACCCACTGATGAAATTGAGATAGTGAGACCTCTCTTCCAAATCTAATTGCATGGCAGCCCTGTCAAGCAAACACTTCAAAATTAAAAGCCTTCCCATTGTTGAATTATTCAAATACTGCAAAGAACTATTTTTCTTTTCTCAAAGCAGCATTGAAAAATGACTTAAATGCATGCAAAAAACCTGAAAAGTGCAGTTGAAAGGCAGATATGTCTTTCCTGCCCCAACTGCCGTTGTTAGGAGAAGCAGGATTTACCATGGACCTGAAGATTGTAGAATAATTCAGCTACTCCTGCTGCATTCGTCACCGCACATTTATAAATCCCAGTGTCAGAGATCTGGGCTGCATCTATCTGGGCAACTTGCCCTCTGTTCAAGAAAGTGATGCCAGCAATATTGATGAGAGGAAGGTTATCTTTGTACCATGTGACAACTGCAAAATAAAATAAGATGTATTTGTTACTAAGCCATAACAGAATTTATCTTTTAAGGAAACGTTCAAGTTACAGTACTTTTTATTCCAATACCACTTACATTATTGACAGATGCCCAGATACAGTACAGAAACTTCATAGTTTAAAGCAAAAGGAATATTAGGAAAAGTGAGGGATTAAAAGGTGTTGCTTGCTTACTCCACTCCAACAGGTGAGGAAGACAAAATTAAAGAGGAATTCTTTTTCACTCTCAAATTGCAAACAGTTTCAAGGTAGACACTAATTGCCTACAATATGGCCCATTAAAGTATCCTTCGTGGCCCACCTATTCTTGCTCTCTTCTTCAATACCTTCTTATTTCATTTGGATGTTGTGGGGTAATATTTATAGGGCAGCCCACATAAGCTGCTACCAAATCATTCAAGGTTGTTTCAAGATACTATTAAATCTCAGGTGAAATACAGCTTTCCAGGGGTGACCTGCTGGGGATTTGCAGGGATTCGGAGAGAACCTCTAAGCTAAGATTTTGTGCATTTCGGAGTACCCCCAAATCCGGCCCTGGACACCCCTTCCTGCCCCATTCTACCCCTCCCAAGAGTTCCCAAAATGGGCTCATTTTGGATGCAGGTAAGAGCAGGGCATGCACAGAGACTCAGGGAGGGGGGGGGGAAATAGGCCTACTGGAAGTTCAAAAGGCCAAATGGGTCAATTTCCAGCCACCGGAGGGCCTCCAAAACCAGAGGAAGCTCAAATAGCAATAGTTAGACTTATATACCGCTTCATAGGGCTTTCAGCCCTCTCTAAGCGGTTTACAGAGTCAGCATATTGCCCGCAACAATCTGGGTCCTCATTTCNCACCACACTGAATTTTGTATCCTGACAAAACTCTCAGCATAACTGCTGAGTCACAACAGAAGCACAAATATCCATTCCCCTTGGACGGCAAGGAAATCAGTAAATCCTTAAGGATATAAATCAAGACTATTCTTTGGAATGACAGATTTTGAAGCTGAAGTTCAAATACTTTGTCCACCAAATGAGAAGAGAGGACTTGTTGGAAATTACCCTGATGTTGAAAAGACTGGAGGGAAAAGGAAAAGGGGACACCAGAAGATGAGATGGCTAGATAGTTTCATTGACACAATGAACATGGGTTTGGAAGAATGATGGGAGACAGTGGAGAACAAGGAGGGGGCTGGCATGCTGGGATCTCAAGAATTCAGGCATGACTTAAGGACTGAACAACAGGAACAACAATAAATATTCATAGCTTTTAGGCAAGAAATGCTAAGATAAAAAGACTATGATATCTAGAACATTTTATATTAAAATGACCCAGTAAAAAGCATGTTTCCCACCCCATCCTAATTGGTCAAAATTCTAAAGACAAAATATTGAAAAATATATAGGAAAAGTAAGATCATCTGCCTTATCAAATTTCAAAAGTTTTACATGTGCATATTTCTGCCCCAAATATGTTTATTTAATACAATTTATATTTCAATATTCCATCATGAAATTGAATTTAAAGCCTAAATTAGATAAAACACAATCAAGCCTTTTCTCTCTCCCCCCCCCCACCTTTCTGTCTTTGGCATAAGGCTAGCAAATTTTAAGCTAGGTTAGAAACTCAATCACAGCTCTCTGAACAAGCAGATAAAATTATTTTGCATATACAATACAATAGCAGAGTTAGAAGGGACCTTGGAGGTCTTCTAGGTCTCCCTGCCTAGGCAAGAACCTATACCGTTTCAGACTAATGGCTATCCAACATCTTCTTAAAGACTTCCAGTGTTTGGGCATTCATAACTTCTGGAGGCAAGCTGTTCCACTGATTAATTGTTCCAACTTTCAGGAAATTTCTCCT